GGCCTGAAAAAGGCCCTCCGTTTCAGGCTGGAAAACCTCTGGGCCTGAAAGGCCCAGAAATAGGCTGAAACGGAGTAGGGCCTGCAGACCCTCGTTTTTCAGCTTTCAGGCTGAAACGACCGGGGCCTGTAAGCCCTAAGTTTTAGGCTTTTAGGCTGAATGTCCGGGACGGGCCCTGCAGGGCCCGTGTGGCTACGCAGTATGCCACAGCACCCCTCCGTTGAAATTTTCGATATTAATATCAGTATTGTCGTCATCGATGTCATTATTGATTTCATTGTCGTCATCTTCTCCACTCTGATCATCTTGACCACCGATGCACTTGTCGTTGTTGTAGATGTAGTTGTTGTTATTGTTGTTGTTGATCCTATCGCAGATGTCATTGCTGCTTGCTATGTAATTGACGTTGTTGTTATTGTTCTTTCTTCCTTTTCTTAAGTGAGGGAAAGTATATGAAAGATGGATGAAATTTTGCCCAGAGAACTAGCGCTCGAAGTATGGCTCCGCCGCCAAACATCAGGTTGAAAAAAAATAAAAAGTTGGTACATCCCTGAGCTGTTGAAATACACACCTGAGTTCGAACTCCTCTGAGAGCAGATGACCAAAATACTGCAGTTCTGAACTACCAAGGGCTGGCCAGCTCAATAATGATACCTCAATGCTGTCGCCCTTGGGGGGGGCGGGGGGGGAACTGCTTTTCCGGGTATTAGGTTTTGGGTTTTGTTTGAACACGTACAGGTACCATGACTCGAAAAAAACCGGCAAAAAAAAACAAAAAAAAAAACAGCTTACTGTGCTCAGGAGAGTCAGTACAAGGTTTTGGCCTTCACTGAACATGTACAGGTCACCATGCAGTTTGCCTCAGACTACAACTTTGGGCTCATCGCGGTGCTGTGCCTTGTGCATCTTAGTCCATCAATGGTTTGAGCTCACAGTTACATGTGTGTGCCATTCATCCACATGGGCTGGGTTGGTGTTGTCCCTATCTTTTTTTTTTTTTTTTTTTGGCGTTCGGGGCTCGGACAGACTGCCCCGGGAGGACGTCTGACTGGACAAGCCTGGATGTCCGGCCCGGCAACATAGCAAAAATTGAAAAAACAGTTTCAAACTGCACTTTCGGCAATGTATACAAGCTGGCTTTCTGGTCAGGTAAGGTTGCGTGGGGTAAAATTATTCCTCGTTGCGTTTGCCTACATTTGCAATCAGACTCGTTCTCAAACACACTTTTCATGCATGTAAACAGCAACGCAGCATACTGGCGACATGCGCCCACTCAATCACTCAGAGATATGGCTTTCAGATACGAGTTCACTCTCAATTGGCTATGGCGGCTTCAGCGCCCAAACATCTCACTGTTCACATACACTGGATCACCCTGGATATCCCATACGCACCACTCTGAACTCTCGACACACACACACACACTCTCTACTAACTACTGCTATGGCAGCTATGGCTGCCTCTAACCTATCGCTAACTAACTCCTCCTCTCTGCCCAC